GGGGGGGCTTTTTTGCTTTTTCAGTTTCCCTAAAAAGAGATTTAATGCTTGCACCATTATTATTTTCTTTAATGACTGATATTTATTATCCAAATTTCACTGAAAAGCCATTACAACTACCTTTGGTCATCTCTGCTTACAGCTCTAAATGAAAGCCTATATATTATGTTATTATATTTAATATATGATTTTTTTATACTTTGACAGTAATCCTGCTTTGTCATTTAAGTTCTCAGTGAAAGATCTCAATACTGTTTTAAAGATCATCAGATCATCTCTGTGTGGCGGCATTTAGGTGTACAGTGCACTGTGTGCGGAAGCGTGGGAGGTGGCACGCTGTTGTTTGTACTGACAAATCAAAATATCTCCACCACTAGTGTACTTAAACCCCTACACTTGCCAACAGCATGTGTCAGGCAGTTTTGGATAACCTTTCAGTCAAATGGTTTTGTGTAAATGATCTCATTTCATTGTTCCTCCATCATTAAGTGGTTGGTATAGGATTAGTTTCACACTGTATGTCGTCACTCGTAGTTTGTGATTGCTTACGTAAGGTGTTGGCAGCCATGACTATCAAAAGAGACTTTTTTGAGTGGAAAAATCTGTGTGGACTGCAGAAACATGTTTAAAAGATATAACACCATACCTGCTGCAAAAACAGTAAAAGTAAAGTAAATAGTACCAGTTTAATTCTGACTAAACTTCGGCTACATATGCTAATTATTTTTATTTTTTAAAATTTGGACCTCCACAACTAGGAGGACTCAGGTCATGACATTTATGTGTTTGAGGTGCTAAGTGATAGACAAAGACTAGGTATTAAAACATTTCTTTTTTTATTGGGTCTTTTGGCTGTGCCGTGTTTTTACAGCTGGAGAATGTAAAGAATCGCTAACAGCACTGATAAATAAAAAAACAAAATGCCAAAAAAAAAAATTAAAAATCAGATCAAACTGAAAAAGGTTACTGTTGCACCCAAAGGCCTTGTGATTGCTTCACTGTTGCCAGTTGTGACAGCATTTTAGCATTTTTCTTTTTAACATACGTGTATTTGTAAAATCTTATTCAGTAGTGCAGATTCCCTGCAACAGTCGCCTCAAACCGCTTTATATTGCAAGGCAAAGACCAAAAAACCATTAGAGAGAAACCCAGATAATCACAAAACCCCCCTGTGAGCAAGCACTTGTTGAAAGGAAAAACTCCCTTTTAACAGGAAGAAACCTCTGGCAGGACCAAGATCAGGCAGGCGTAGCCATCTGCAGCTACTGGTGAAGGGTGATGGAAAAGAAATGAAGAGAAAGAGACAGGACAAAAGGCAAAATAACTATAGTTTAATTCTGTATTAGCATCTGTTGTAGCAACCCCTGAAGGGAATGATCAAAGGAAAAAGAAGAAGTCATCTAGTTTTTAATAAGGCCATCGAGAGTCACTGGAGCTTAAACAGATCAAACTGAAAAAGGTTACTATTGCACTCGAAGGCCTTGCTGTTGTTTCACTGTTGCCAGTTGTGACCGCATTTTGGCATTTTTCTATTTAACAAACATGTATTTGTAAAACAAGCGCTGTGTTTAGCTACAATGCGCACCAGACGCAATCGCTCGTGACTGAAAAAGACACAAATGGAAGAAATAATGGTGGCGCAGTATTTTTATCACTCTATCTCACACAACCATACAACCATGCAAGCACGCACACCAGGAGATGCTGGGTTTGATTGGTCTGTGCCTGTGGCTGGAGATAACCAGGTGAGACAAAAATGGCTATAATCTGCTGATAGAGGGCTGTTCGGTGGCTGCCTGGCGTTTATTTCTGTTTGGCAGTCGGCCTTTTAAAGGCAGATTGATTCTTGTTTCTGTGTGGCACCAATAAAGATGTCACAGTTGTGTTGGGCTCATTTAAGGTGAGCGCAGGTACGACTACATGGAAAGCTGTTGGAGGAGCGGTGTGCGTGATTGCCATGAGTTTGAGTGTGAGATTGCATGTGTGAGATTGCATGTGTGAACAGCGAAAAGCTTGTGGGCCACGGTGGATTTCCTGTTGTTTGAGGTTGACAATCAGAACTGAAATAACTAAAAAAACAGAGACCACTGATGTTCTCTCTGACTATCCAGCACTACCAACAGGAACACAATTTTAGTCACAGCTCGGTCTCTTTTCTTCGTTCTTTTTTTTTTTTACATGTGATATTCAGCTGGTGGCGAAAAGCTGCTGGTCAAGCTTAATGGTTAATTTAAAGGGACAGATTAATGAAATGTTAAGCATCAGAGTTAAATTGGTGAAATATTCTTATCATGGTCAATCATGAGGTTAATCAGACAGTTCCATTAGTAGAAGCTGCAGTCTTATCAGATTTGTGGCTCTATTATTTTCAGCTCGATCGTACATGCCTTTGCTCTGTGTCTATATTTATTTTATCTCAGACTGTCTGTTCTCAGAAACCTTCTAGTGATCCCTGTGGCACCAAATAAAGAGGGCACACACTGACACACTAACACACACTCGTGAAAACAAATCTGACACAGTTATGCACGGAAACGTAAATACTCCCGTATATTGTCAAGTTGCAGCTATAAGAGCTCGTCTCGAAGAATGCAGGCACACTTTCTAATGAGAGACGATGGCGGGAAGAGATAGCAGCCTACATTATTTTAGGTTATTTGAGGCTGGCGATGCCTCTGCATCACCACACGGCATAATGTGAAAGAAAAAAAGCGCACTTCCTCATGAGCTTCTCAAAAATATTTTTGTCAAGGATCCGTGATACAATTCATCTTTTTTAATGAATCAAATGACATCTGATTGTGACAGAAATCGCCACTAATCAAAAGACTGGGGGGGTGTGAGAGTTTCACAGTGCAGTGGCATGGGGGGAGGTGAGAGGGGATGGCCATTACTGGCAGTGATGAAGGAGAGTGCATTACTGGCAGCGATGTCCTTTATGAGCGAGATAGAGAAGGATTCACAAAGAAAGAAATGACATGAAAGCAGGAAAGTCAGAGTGAAAGAGAAGTCACGCAACCACTTGAAAGCACTCTGAGGTTGACACCTTCATATTCGCCGCTTTTCTCCATTTGCAAATATTCCATGTCCTCAGAAGTCTCTCGGCTTATTGCATTTGAAGGTATTTTGTTCATTATTATTAAGGCAAGAGGTGCTTGAGAGGAAAATACCTTTGGTCTACTATGGTCACACAACAACTGATAGATGCTTAAGGGAAAGTACAGAATAAAGCAAAAGTTGTGGGAATCACTTTGCAGTTTAATTGTTTAGATAAAAATGTGCAGTGTCATTAGAATAACAGTTGGTATAGTTTTACTTACTGCTATGAGCTCTGTGCTGCAAATGTTATAAAAGAAGGATTAAAAATGCTTGCTTTTAATATTAATAACAGACTCTTTATTCTGCTATTTTTTTTGTTTTGTTTCCATCTATACTGTAGATGTGTGTGCACATACAAAGTCTGAACTATTGAGCTGACATTAGAGCAACAAAGGTCACGTTAAACTACACTGATCAAACTTAAAAAATTCTGCATTTAAGAACTGTATTTTATTTTTTATAAGGTTAAAGTTTGGATTTAACAAACTTTTTCTCTCCTTCTGTGTTTGTTCAGCCCAGATTGAAGTTATCCCATGTAAAATCTGTGGTGATAAGTCCTCTGGAGTTCATTATGGAGTCATCACTTGTGAGGGCTGCAAGGTGAGATGGGCCACAGCAACCTCATTCCCACATCATACTGATCCTGACCTCATGTCACTCCACTCATTATGAACCTACAGCCAGAAGCCTTTAAGGTTTATGCCACAGCTGCCTTAAATTAACAATGTCTGTAATTTACAAAAAAATCTGTTTTTATATTTCTGTAATTGTTCATCCATCAGTATGTGCAAGCTCTTTGATCAAAATTATATTTTTAATGCAAAAATATAATGAATGTTGTCATCCAGGAATTTTTAAATGAACTTTATTACAAATAAGCTTAAAACACACAAAAAAATCTTATTTTGTGATGAAGATGTCAAATTAGATTAGTTTTAGCAGTTGAACATTACTCTTGATTAACTTCTGACTTTCAGTGTGCCGCACCACATTTGGATACAAAATCATGAATTCACTCATTTGAGGTTTTTAAAATTTCTAATACATTTTAGTTTTTATAACACTTGGTTTAAATAATTTGTCAAGCAATGTGCAGGAAACAGGAAACACTTAGCTATGCTAGCATAAAACAAATCTAGTTATCAGTGTCTCTTAAGCGTAATAATTTAATATGTATTCATGTTATATCTTTAACTCATTAAAAAGTGTCTTGAAAATTTAGCCATGTGAATCTACAGAGTTACTTTTCTCGTCCAGGTGCTTTTATTTTTGAAGTTCTTGCTAGCAGGCTAACTGGTTTCAATCAATGAACATTTCATCTGTTTTTCTACAAGAAAGCAAGTCGATATTTCCCAATACTCTAGTTCCTAGAAGAATTCCTTTGACGATCGGTGACCAATAAATTTTCCCAATAGGAAAAAAAAATCTGGGACTGTTGTGGAGGGCCGCACTGATAAGCTTTTGTGCGTTTTTGTGTTCATTTTTTTGGTGCGGCCCTCCACAGCAGTCCCAGTTTCTCACTAACCTTTCACTATTACAGTTGGACTGTTGAATAGCAAGTTTTAGCTTATTTTAGATATTTTGTATCACTTATACCTGACAGATTACAGGAAATATGAGTTATACTGATTTAATTTAGAACTTGTCAGATGATAATAAAATAATTTGGCCACCAGAGAACATTTCTGCTCATTAACAAGAGCAAATAAAAATGTTTCTCTTCTAACTTTTATGTGTAACTCAAAAATCACTATTTCCCAGTCAAAAATTGAGCTTTTGTTGGACTCTGCTAATCCCTCAGGGATTTTTCCGGCGCAGCCAGCTGCCTACCGTATCTTACTCCTGCTCCAGGCAAAGTAACTGCCAGATCGACCGGGCCAGCCGCAACCGCTGCCAGCACTGCCGTCTACAGAAGTGCCTGGCACAGGGCATGAGCAGAGATGGTGAGAGAAAGCACACATGCACTGGCAGGCAGACAAATCTATTTACTGTTAATTCGCAGCAGCTACTTAGTCATTTGTTGATTGTTTATTTCCAGCGGTGAAGTTTGGACGGATGTCCAAGCGTCAGCGCGACTCTCTGATCGCTGAAGTGGAAAGGCACCGACAGCAGCAGCAACAGCAGCTTCAGGGAGACGCCCAGACCGTGTTGTCCTACCCCACCAAGAACCGCCAGGACCGCTCCCCCCAGCTTCTTCAGCCCATGGCCCCGACCTACTCATACAGCGGAGATGCCGAGCTGTTGACCTACGCCGCTGATATTCACCCTTACCTGATGTGCTCCCCGAACGACTCACAGGTGCCTGCTATGATCTACCGCACCTCTGGGATCTCTCCCACCTCAAGATCCCAAGGGAGGGGAGACAACGCCGGTCATGCTGATATAAGAGGTGAGGCTCAGATGTGGGAACTTCACCATGCAGGACAAATCCTCCTTTCTCTGTTACTTATTTGTCTCTCTTCTCTGTTCTTTATGCAAGGATTTGACTCCAGGCAGTCGTCTCACGATATGATGGGGATTCATCCTTATAGTGGTCTGGAGGATCCATACAGCCTGTATCCTCACTCCCTGCGAAACATAGGTGAGAAAATGAGCACAGTGAGCCAAACTAAACATGTAACTTTATCATATTTATAGTATTTATAAGTGCGTCTTCTTCTTTTTTTAGATGAACTGTGTGCCAGCATTGTGCGTTCCCACAGAGAGACCAGTCAGTACAGAGTGGAAGAGCTCCAAGCTCTCAGGTGGAAACTCTTCAGCAGAGAGGAGATCCAAGCATACCAGAGCAAAGTATGTGCACTGTTTTCTCTTCATTTTTTATTTTTATTTTTTAATTTTGCGATTTCTCCTTCATGTGTGCGAGCTTACTCAGACAGTCTCAAAACAAAACATGTCATTTCACATGCTTTACGTCTGAGGCTAGTTTTGTTTGATGAATCAAACAGGAAACTGAGAAAACGTCTTTCATCGCTTCCCCCTCCTCTTCTTTCTTTGATCTTTTTTTCAGTTGATCAGTGAGAAAACAGCAGGGTAAATTGAGTGATAAAATACAGAAACTTGAGCAGCAGACTGAGTTGTTGGGACACTGAGGATGAGTTTTTGTGAGACGAGTGAAATGTTTTGCCCTTTAGAGCCCATTTTAAACAATCTATGGTGAAAGAAAAGGATTAATGAGAAACAAACTGAGCTAACAGTCTTTCTGTCTGACTCTCTTTCCCAGTCAGTAGATGAGATGTGGCAGCACTGCGCTATCCGACTTACTGATGCCGTCCAGTTCGTGGTGGAGTTTGCAAAACACATCCCGGGTTTCCGTATGCTGAGCCAGAACGACCAGATCGCCCTTTTAAAGACTGGTGATTTTCCCTTTTCTAGAAGGATGTGCTTAAAACACAATATATATAACTGAACAGGTTTGATCTTATCTCTTCTGACCTGCCTTCCTACTCTTTTCAGGCTCCATGGAGGTGGTTCTGGTCAGAATGAGCCGGTTCTTTAACACAGAGAACAACACTGTGTTCTTTGATGGGAAGTTTGCTGGAACTGAGGTCTTCAAATCTTTGGGTGAGGATTTATCTGAAGGTGTGAAACCGTCTATCTAAACACCATAACTTATCAATGCTCAGTGGTTTCTTGTCTTGCAGCTTGTGGTGATTTAATCGCAGCAGTATTTGACTTCGCACATGGCATGTGTGCCCTAAAGCTGACTGAGCAACAGATTGCTCTCTTCAGTGCCCTGGTGCTCATCAACGCAGGTAAGCCCAGCTCGGTCTGTCTCACTCGTACTGCGTTCATTTTAAGCACATCAGGAAGGAAGCGGTCTTTTCTTTTCTCGTCCTCCATGATGGCGGCACATGGTGCGGTCTTGGGTTCGGCCTTTATGTGTTCATTTGGCGTTCTCCCTGTGCCTGTGGGGACTTTGTCTTGATACTCTGACTTCTTCTCAAAGACATGACTGTTAGGGTTAATTGGCAATGGCGTCTATGAGTTAGTGTCATAAGTACCTTGAACTGGAAATGCAGTTACAAAAATGGGTGGACGGATGTCATAGATGAATAAGCTTGACCTTACTGTCAGATGTGCATGAATAAATCTTGTAGGTTTATCATATTACTGCCCAAATATAGATGACAGATATGTTTTGTGTCTGTGTCTTATCCAGTTTGCCTTTTTTCCATTTTGTCTTGTGTAATTTTAATTCATTCTGTCCCATTAAGTTAACCTTTCTGCCTCCTAGTGGCCGTGAATAGACATAATTCAGTTAATAGGCCGCAGTGAATGAGGATGAACTGATGAATGAAGGAAAAGACACAGAAAAGGAAAAAACAAAAAAGACGAAGAACACTTTACAAAAAGTGTTCTTAGGTGTTGTTGGAAAGGTGTGACAATGTTTCTGGCCTTTGAATGAAGTCCTTTCCTGTCTCGTTGTTGTTGTGTGAATTTTAAACCGAAATTAAAAGGAATCAAAGAGAATATTTTAACAATGGACATTCAGAATAAGGGCGTGATAAATATCTGGATCCTATCATCTCATCGCTTCAGTCCTTATTTTTACTGCTGTGCTTTATGGGTTCCACTGATGATTTTAATGTCATTATATGTCTAAAGTATAGTATTGAAACAAACCTCTGAATGTATTTGTTAAAAAACTCTTTTATGATTTCAACCCTGCTATTTTTGCCTGCCAACACTGACTAAAGTTCACTGCTGAGAGCATCAGCCTGCTGCCAGGGACTTAACTTCCATGCAGCAAGTAATGCTGTCTACCCTGTTCTGCAAAATGCTTTACTTTATGATTTTTGTTATGTTTTTCACCTTTAAAGGGAACAACCTACTAAACAGCTTGAAAAAAACCCAATCCTTCTTTCATAAAACATCTTTGTGTTCAGATCGTCCGTGTCTGGAGGACAGGAGCAAAGTTCAAAGAGTTCAAAGAAGCGTGGAGTCGGGACTGACGCACATTCTGCACCGAGACAATCAAGAAAGTTTGATGCACAAGGTAAATTTCAGTCACCTGGCTGTTCAAACACTAAAATTAAAGGCTTGTGTGCTCCATGTTTCATATCTGTGAGTGCGCAGGCTTTCCTCGCTGCTGTAGAAAGCTGACGTCTAAATGCTTGTGTCCACCCTGCAGCTGTACCAGAGGATGGCGGTGTTGCGCTCGCTGTGCAGTCTGCACATGGAGAAGCTTCGCTGGTTTAGTCAGCGGTACCCGCTCACAGCTCACTCTCTGTTTCCTCCGCTCTACAAGGAGCTGTTCGCATCAGAGGCAGAGCTTCTGCCGGGGACCACTCACTGATGATCTACGGGAATATGCAAAAACAGTCGCGCACCAACGTACAGAGACTCCTATTAGTTTGAGTCTCATTACTTTCTGGCAGATTCTATTTTTCTAATAATAAAAAACACACACAATAATTGTAGCGTGTGTTAAGTGTTATATGACTTCCAGCAGAGCTTTTCTTTGTTAGATGATGTCAAGAAGAATTTTTTTTTTTGATAGCTTAAAATTATTTTGATGATGCCAGAGAAACATATATTTTGATGTTCTTCGAGAGCACATTGTCGGTGGAGTAAGAGCTTCATTTTCTCTCAGGTTGTGCTGTTGTGATTCTGTCCAGTTGTAGCTTCTGTGTGTCACGGTGTCTTTCAGACATACAAATTCAAAAAGGCAGGCCACTGTTCATCATTAGTTCAAACTTTTAAGTGTTAGTCCACAGAAAGTCTGTATTTCAAGCAGAAAACACCAAACTTCAGAGGGATTCAAATGTGACTTTATAAAGTTTGTATCTTCACCTTGTAGTGATTTCAAGTGGATTCTTGCTTGACTTTGTCAAAAAAAATAAAATTTGCGCTATATAAGTTAAAGCTAAAGCCAACCAATGTGCTTTCAACAAACAACAATATCAAGCACTAAAAGCAATCATATGCAACTACAGATGTTGGTCTAAAAACAGAAATCCACTTTGTCTTTAGCTTCCATACTCATAATAGGGTTTAAGTTTTGCAATGCTCCTTAAGGATCATGCAATGCCCTGCTGAGCCTGTGCATGCTAGCTTGCACAAATTACATCCTGTTCCTGTTTCTTCTCGGTTGTTTTTGCCCTCAGGAGTATTTAATGCAGCACTGGTTTAATGCACCTGGAAGCTGAGAAAGTCAATCATCTTGTCTCTTCACATCAGCAGCTTCAGTCACACCCGCCGGCCATGAAGAGCGGAAAGTGTCATTTAGATGCTGAATACTAAATTAAAAACTTGCCTCTTTGCGTCTGTATGTCTCCAGAGAAGTTTCTCCTCCTCAGGCTGGTGTCTGTCATAGACTGACCAATAAATACTACAAGGGCAGCAGTACCACTGAAATGGTTCCCTTTAAACGAATCCTCACATGCTTTTATATTGTGTGAGCTGTTGCATTAAGTGTAGAGATAATACAAAAAGGTGCAAGCGTGTAAAGTAGAAATCTCGTCCCGTGTGTGCTAACTCTTCCTCCTTTTCCCCAGATGAACTTGTTTTGTTTTCTCTACATATCTTTGAATAAAGCGGCGGGTGAATGAGAAATGTTGAGATGTTTCTGCATTAAGTATGTCTGTATGTAATCCTCTCTGTCCCTGGAACAGCTGGCATTTCCCTCAAGATAATTTGCTGTAAACCTTCTAATAAACTGCTGAAGCTGTGACACCAAGCAGATGTTTCACTTTATTTGACTGCTTGTGAAATCACCATAAATATTTATGCAAAGAAAAATTAACCGAATTATAGGGAAATCCCTATCAAGTCAAACATCACAGTTTATTTGTTGCAATCAAAGCTCTATAGCGAATATATTGAAAAACATCCAAATAAGTTGTCTCCAGCAAATTTTGGTAAATTTGCAGCTGCAGCAAAACAGAGGAAATATTAGTCATTGTGGGTGACTACCAGTGGTCTGTGGAAAGTTTTTTTGAGGTTGTCACACATCGACACACGCACACAACGGTTGCTAGCCAAGTTAGAGAGGAAGCAAATTAAAAGCTTCTAAATCCGTGGGATGTGATTAACCCAGCAAACAGATTTTATGTTAAAGACAGCTCCGATCAAAGCTGCTCATGTTTTCTTTAATCGCCTCCTGCATGCAGGTTTGGGCAACAAAACTCTCTAAACTACTTTTGTATGTAGTGGTCTTTGGTTTCTTTTAATATTCTGTTATGCAGAACAATAGAATAAAAGGGTCCTTTTTGCCTTTGCTTAAATACCATTTCCACTCTTTTTCTTTTTTGCTTAGATGTTTGTAAGAAAACTGACAGTGTGGCTGGATTTTAGTAAGCGGAAGGAGAGTGGTTTAGTAGTTTATTACCTTATAGGAATTTCCAGTTTCCACCAAGTTATTTCACTATTACAGATGAGTGGTACACATGACTCGAGGTCATGGGAAATAGGAATATTTGGTCCTAACTACTGTAAATCAAAACACTAGTTTACCATTAAACATAAAGGCAGTATTAATTATAGCAAAGATGCTATAGATGATGTTTGCAGAATTAAAGAAAACACGAGACGCTGACAACAGACTTCAAACAAATGGCGAACTGCTTTATTACTTCAAACATCAAAATCCAGAAATGCAAATCATGAGTGCCGCTATAGCTCACCAGGCTGTGCTGCAAAGTCTTGCAGAAGCCAAGTGGGTTCAAACCCACACTTGGCCATTTGTTGCATATCATCTCCTAGTTTTTCTGTCCACTCACAACTGTAACATTATAATAAAAACCTAAAAGACCCCCCCAAAAAATACTCACATGGAGAGGATGCTGCAACAAAGGCCGAGGGGAAAGCAGGACTATTCACACAAAGTGGGTAATGAGGGAAGTGGAAATAGCTGAGCAAATGAGATACAGGTGTAGACAGTCCCGTGGGGGGAGTAATCTGAAATAACCGAAAGATAACTACTAAACACAGAGATGTGAACTCACACTGAAACACGATACAGAAAAAACACAAGGGAGGCTTCGAACACAAAGTCAAAGACAGAAATCCAAACACAAGAATATTACAAAAAAAAACTCATAACACACAAAACTTAAAACGCAAGTATTACCAAAACAAAGTTAAGAGGAACAAGCAGGACACTAAAAATGTAACAAACACGAAAATCTCCACACAGGGGAATAACCAGAGAACCAAAATAGAAACTCAAACTCGAAGACTTCAAAACAGAAAACTATCAGATAGACACCGAATCAGCTTATCAGCTCACATCAGCTGGCTGTTAAATCAGAATGAATAATGATTACTTTGATTTGTGTTATTTCTTACTCAGGTTTTCTCATTTTATCTTTTCTTTCTTAAATTATGCCATCTTGTCCTATGTTTTTATGTCATTTGATTATTTTTGTTGCGCTTTGGTCGGCAGCCGTTGTGTTAAATGTGCTAAAGAAATAACTTTGACTGACTGGATAAAGTCCCACTCCCAAGTCTTGGAAAGCAGATGGGTTTTTCAAATGTAGTAAAGCATCTAAGAAATAAACATTATCAGTCTGGGTATGTCTCTGTCTTTTTTTGGAAATGATAACATGTGAATCTGTTTTCCCTGCCTGTGGAAGGGAGACATCTAGTTGCCCAAAGAGGAGCAGATTTGGGGTCATGAGTCTACGATTAGCGAGGTTTAATGACATGTTCCAGGAAATTTGAGTTGAGTATGTGTTCAGTAGTTATCAAAACAGCACCAAGAATGTCTGCAGTAGCTATTTGACCATAATTACTCTGGAAAACGGACAAATGAGTGATTTGGTGAAAGAGAAGAGTTATCTTCCTTGATGGAAGATAAAGTTGTGGGAATTCTGAAGTTTCATATGGGTAAGCTCGAGAATTATTTTGCCAGGTATTACACTGACTTACTGGTTTAGTAGATGTGAGTGCTTATAGGTTGGTTTGAGGACTCAAAACAAAGGATTTATTAAGTCAGGAAAAGGAGCGTGAGGTGGCCACAGATCAAAAAGCAGAGGCAGGAATGCTGAGCATCTGTTCCATCTGCACCATTTGGTCCCATCTTTCACGGCCTCCCTATCCTGTTTGGATCAATGATTCTTGTTCTTGGGGGGAACAATGTGCATTTAGTTCTATGAGTATCGGGATGATAACACATTTGTTCTTTTTATAATTTTTCCTCTATACACATCAGTTAAAGACCTGAGTGTATACTTGGTAGTTGGCATGCACCATGTACACACTGGCTTTATGTGGAATTAGTAGCTTCATAGTCTGCCTCACATAACTTGAGTGATAAAAACAGCAGGAAACTGTAATTTAGTCATTTGGATTATGTGTTGTGGGTGGGCTGGAGAGTCTTTTGTTCATGGGCACAGCTGCGTGAGAATGTTCTTGGAGGTGAAGAAGGATAAGAGACTTTATAATACTAACAGTCCTGTGTGCATGAGGGCATTTTTCTCAACTGAGCTCCCCTCCTAGGTTTCTTTTTTATTATTGTGAACTCTCAGATCTGCATCCAGTGTCTAAGTGCTCCAACTCCAGGAACCATGCAGAAAACAGACTGACCTGGTGTCTAGGCTTTAGTAAGCACCTCTGCACTGACACACCAGTGAAACAATGAGAGTGAGCAATTAAGTGGTTTAGATGAGGTAACTGACTGGTACAGATGACTGCTGCAGATGTCTAAAACAGAACATTTAAGAGTCAAATTAAAAAAAAGGAGGGTTGTACTTTAATAAGGAACTAATTTAACTTTGAAATAATGCAGAAACAAACATAAGAAAAATGCTAAACCTTACTTAGAAAACATTTCAAACACATTTTAGTGTCATTTAAAAAAAGACATCATAGCATGCTTGCTTGCAGGCTGCAGCACGCAAGACAGAACAGATGTCTGATCCAGGCTTCTGATTGGGTTCAGTGCCACCCCCAAAGGCTGGGCAGGGCGTGGGATTTTCAACAATATTATGATGTTTTTGCAGTTCTGTATATCTCATTTCCACTGACACATGACTTACCCAAAACTCATTTTTACCAGAGAACCATTTACTGTTAGAGGCTGTCAAAGCAAAAAAAAAAAAAAAGAAAATTGTTGCCTTTAATTTTCTTAAACATCCATGACAGGCTGTGATTTATCAGCGGGGTTTGTTTATTTTTCCATAACCCTGACCTCCAAGAGGAATTTCATCTTTTTCGTACAGCTCCCGGCATTCACCAGCACCACCTTTAATACTCGTATTTGTTTGACTCAACAAAGCTGCAGCCAAAGCAGCAAAAGAAAAATACTCCTCCTGGGTAAACAACATATGTCCAATAGTCAGTATTAAAGTTTATTTGGACTGCAAAGGAGAACTGAAGGAGAATTAAACTGGCTGGAGAAGCTGTGTTACAGTCATTCTTTCATACACTGAGGCCATGATGACCCTGGACCTAATCTCTACAGATTACAGACATAACAAGGACAGCAAGGCTTTTCATATCTCTGTCATATAAAGTTAACCATCACATCCCTGCATTACCTTGATACTGAATCCTGGTGTTATTTTATGAAGTGTCTATAACCATATTCCAACTTCTTTGATTTGATTCAATGCAATTCAATTTTACAGCACCAAATCTAAACAGCAGCTGCCTCAACACACTTTATATTGTAAGGTAGAGATCCTACAGTAATAGATTGAAAACGTCAACAATCAAATGCCTCCCTGTGAGCAAGTGCTTGGCGATAGTGGGAAGGGAAAACTTTTACAGGAAGAAATACCTGGCAGGATTCTGGCTCAGGGAGAGGCCATGATCATTTGGGGGTGAGGTGTGGGAGACGGGACAAGAATACACACTGTAACACAAAGTGTATGACAATGAAACACTCAGCAGCCTAGACCTACTGCATCTTAACTAAGGGAGGAGTCAGGGTCGCCTGATCCAGCCCGAACTATATGCTTTATTAAAAAGGAAAGTTTTAAGCCTAAGCTTAAAAGCAGAGAAGGTGTCTTTCTCCCAAATCTAGTGGGTGGTTCCACAGCAGAGGGACCCGAAAGCTGAAATCTCTTCCACTGAATCCTCTTGTAAATATGCCTCTAGTTGAGGAACTTTCTAAAAGTGGTTGACTAAAAAGCAAACTCACACATCTATTACAATAAAACAAAAGTTGTGATGATCAGTTTATCTCATCACAGAGATACATATTTAGCATTGTGTGTCTAGACAGGTCTCCACAAAGTCTGACAAATAAGCCTGATGACTGTGTCGATGTCAATGACAGCTATGGAAACTCATTCTCATGAGGCAGGAAGTCGCCATAATCCAGAGCATAAACTCTGGATGGAATTTGTCATTTATCAGGCAATAAGCAACACAATCACTGAGCTAAGAATGATTCACCTATTATTAAAATAAGGGTTACTCAGGCTCTGCTGCTTTCTGAAAAAAAAAAAAAATTAAAAATATTTATTTTCAGTCAGCCAGCTTTAATGGGAGTATTGGCATTTATGGTCTCACACTGTGGTATTTCAATGTAAACACAGTATATAGGTCAAGATAACATCAAGGCCAAGTAAACATCTGATACATGATGAGGACAAGCTTCTGATCCTTAAGAAAAACAGACTGTGTTGCATTAAGTTCTCGGTAGCCTTGAGAAATAGGACAGCATAAACATATTTTGTTTTAACACTTTCTAATTAACAAACTGTATTTTATACGTTATTTTACAAGACATATTTGTATTGTTATTCCAAGATTGCCTATGTTTTTGTTTGGTTTATTTTCGTTGAAAAGTTTTCTCTTTTCCTCTCCATGTTAAGTTTTTAAGCAGGAAAAACTGTTAAAGCTGAGCTTTTCCACATAAGGGTTCCATACATTCCCATTAAACAGCACCAGGAATTTGAACGCATCACCAATGAGTCATGTCAAAAAACTTCCTTCCCTCCCACCTTTTTTCCGCTCCCTTAAATCCCACAACAATTGTAAAAAGTGTTTGTCCTGTTGCGGGCTTTTGCTCCTCAGACAGACAGCGCAGCGGCTTCTGTTGGACCAATTAACGGGCCCGTCTGTGCGCTGCCCCGCGGAGCGTGTTTTCCTGGGCGGCCTCTGCGCACTCTGCCAGGACAGTCAGCTGCAGCTGCAGAACATAAAGCACGCATAGCACGGCACGGCACGGACACGATCAGGTCCAAAATGGGTCCGACTTGGGCGCTAATTTGTTCCACCGCTTTGCTCTTGGTTTTACTGAGCTCAGCATCCGAAGGTTGGTACACTACTTTTTTGTTGCTTCCAACTAGAAATCCACGCAGGGAATTCTTGTTTGCTTCATGGCCGATTGCCCAGCTCCATGTTTGATCGCTCATGCTGCAGTGGGAACGTCTATTTTGCAGTGATCTGGTGCCAGGTAGACTTTTATACAAAGCAGTCTGCTCTGAGCACTTTGATTCAAGTTCTTCATTTCAGACATGTCTCACGTGTATTTCTATAGATTACACACAGATGCACGTATAAAATAACATTTTATTTATTTGTTTGTTTATAAAACTTCCAAAACTTCTCTTATTTTGTCCCACTCTACCTTTTACAGCACTTTACAGTTTTTTCCGATGAAGGATCTGACTTCTTCAATACTTCCATCATTTTTCGCTCTCAGTAGTAATAAACAAAACAAACAAACAAACAAAAAAACATGCGTAGTTATGGTTATGTAACTTTGTCTCACTCTTTTTTCTCTCTCTCTGTCTCTCCTTTGTGTGCCGCCTGAAACATTATAGATGAGCGCTTTTTTGAGCAGCGCGAGGTCACCTTTGACATTCCCCAGCTGATGCCAGGTGTGTGCGCGCGCATTCACATATTAGCGCAGCATCTCCACAGCTACCAATTATAACGTCACATGCTCATACTTGTATTTGGCCAGCTCTCACTTCAAGAGGAATGTTAGGGCTTTGAGATGAAAGTCTTTTTTTAACCGGTTTGTTTTATGATTGCAGTGAAATGTCTTCTGTGGTTAGAAGGTTAGAAAATGTACTGATAGTCTTGTTTTTCTTCTCTCTTTAGTGACATTCTAAACCCCGAAAGAGCCCACCACTCTTGTTTTAAGGTTATTTGTAGCCAGGTTGAGTTAGTTGTGGCCCAGTTTGAGTACAGCACTAAAATATAATTAGAAAATATATAAAGCTGTGTCTTTCTGTCTGTTTTGGTGTTTTACTTCATTTAAAATAATGTATATAAAAATCTGGTATTATGTTTTGTATCTTTAGAGATGCAGAAAGAGGTGGACTTGAGAGATTACTTTGGTATGGGCACCGTTTATCTTCTTACCTCTAGTTATAATGTTTTGGCATAAATGCACTACATACCCCCCAAGTGTATGACAATGAAACACTCAGCAGCCTAGACCTACTGCATCTTAACTAAGGGAGGAGTCAGGGTCGCCTGATCCAGCCCGAACTATATGCTTTATTAAAAAGGAAAGTTTTAAGCCTAAGCTTAAAAGCAGAGAAGGTGTCTTTCTCCCAAATCTAGTGGGTGGTTCCACAGCAGAGGGACCCGAAAGCTGAAAT